CTGAACGAACCCGGTGATGAGCCCTGCCTCCAGCGAGAGCGGCGCGCATCCCTCCAGAGAAAACGTGTGCTCCCGCGGGGCTCGCAACCTTCACTCCGACAGCACGGCATAGATGAAGCCACGCTCTCCGCCTCCCAACGTTCGCACAGCGACGTCAAACGCGCAGCCCCACGGCGTCATCAGCTGCCACACGCTTCGCCTCAGCACACACCGGCCCACCCAGACATGAAGGTTGGTCCGCGATCCGGATGCAGCGCACGGGCGCGTTCAGAACAGCCCTTTCGAGGAAGCCTCGCCTTGGGTCACGCGGAAAACATTTCCACGACGCATGACGGCGGTCGAGGCGGCGGATTGGATGACATCCATTCAAAACATGATGCTTCACCTAAACGCACGTCCACTCCACGAACGTTACGCAGAGTGGCTAAAAACATGCTCGCCGGACAGATGGATGGACAGGGTGTTATGCAAAGGTTACACGCTGCAATTTGTAACCCGACCCCCTCCATTCGGAGGAGCTATAGAGACGGTCCTGTCATCACCAGACCAAATCTCATCCTTAAATGCAGAAGTTCAAGAGATTCTGATAAAAGGCGTAATCTCCAGAGTTCCCAACGGAGAGGAAAACACAGGGTTTTACTCACGCTACTTCCTGGTTCCCAAACGGACCGGAGGGATGAGACCGATTCTGGACCTGTCAGCTTTCAACAAGGTGATCATGGACAGACCGTTTCACATGCTGACAACCAGACAGCTGTTGGACAACATCCAGATAAACGACTGGTTTGTTTCCATCAACCTAAAAGATGCTTATTTTCACATACCGATCATCCCAAAACACAGGAAATTTCTGCGTTTCGCCTTTCAGGGGATGAAGTATCAGTACAACAGGCTGCCATTCGGGTATTCCCTCGCGCCTCGTACGTTCTCAAAGTGTGTGGAGACAGCCCTGCATCCATTACACAGAGCAGGGATGAGAATCTTGTTTTACCTGGACGACCTGCTGCTCCTGTCACACTCCAGACAGGAGGCGTTGATGCAGGCTCAGGTGTTGACATCACACCTGTTAAATCTGGGCTTTGCCATAAATTGGAAGAAAAGCTCGATTTTCCCGGCCCAGACAATTGTTTATCTGGGAGTGGAATTAAATTCAACCACCATGAAGGCTCGTTTATCACAAACGAGAATCGACACTTTAAAAAGTCAACTCCGCCACGTAAGACCTGGCATAGTGGTAACAGCTGTCTCCATCATTAAGCTGTTGGGAATTATGTCATCAGCTCACACAGTGGTTCCGTTGGGTTTATTACACATGAGACGCCACCAGAGGTGGTTTGTGCGTCTGCGCGTGAATCCAGTAAAACAAAAGAGACGGATGATCACTTTCCCTCCCTCCGTGAGAGCAGACCACCGACACTGGGGAAACACCCTGTTTCTGTCAGAGGGAGTTCCCGTCAGCAGACCCACGTCACACGTGTCAGTCGTCACGGACTGTCAGGCTGGGGGGGGACATGCCTATCTCAAGCAGTAGGGGCGATGTGGCCCCATCACACATCAGCCCACATAAATGTTTTGGAGTGTCTCACAGTGCTGAATGTGATTCAACACTTTGCTCCCGTGCTACAGAATCAACATGTGTTGATTCACACAGACAACAAGGTGACTGCTGCGTACATAAACCGTCAGGGGGGTGTGCGCTCAGCCCAGATGTTACACATTGCGCGAAAGCTACTGTGTTGGGCTCACCAAAATCTGCTCTCCATCAGAGCAGTTTACATACCCTGTGTTCTGAACAGAGGGGCAGATGTGATGTCCAAGGGCGGCCCACGTCACGTGGACTAGACCCTCCATCCAGACCTGATGGTTCAGACGTGGCAGAAGTTTGGCAAAGCAGCTGTGGACCTGTTTGCGACACGAGAGAACGCTCAGTGTCAACTATGGTTTTCCCTGAGCCCGCGAGACGATCCACCGCTGGGGGTGGATGCATTTGCTCACAGCCCATGGCCCAAAACGCTTCTGTACGTGTTTCCCCCACCTCCTCTGATTTTACGGTTCCTGAACCGAGTTCAGGAGGAGGGACTGACAGCTCTCCTGGTGGCTCCCAAGCGCGTGAATGCACCATGGTTCCCAGTCCTGCAACGTCTGTTGTCGGGTCGCCCGTGGAAACTGCTGTGGAAACTGCCGTGGAGGGAGGACGCTCTCCTTCAAGCAGGAGGAGCGATCAGGAGTTACCCAGAAATAGGCCAACACCTGTGGGTCTGGCCGCTGAGCGGTCCCGCTTAGAGAGGATGGATCTCCCACAAGAGGTAGTGCGCACAATTCAGGATTCACGTGCTGCATCTACCACAGCTCTGTACACATCAAAGTGGACGGCTTTTCAGCGCTGGTGTACAGAAAAAGGTGTAGAGGCCACCTCATGCCCATTAGGCGGCGTGTTGTCCTTTCTACAACAGCTGATGGACAGGAATTTGGCATTCAGCACGATTAAAACGTACGCTGCAGCCATCTCTTCCTGCCACGAAGGGTTCGGAGACAGAACAGCTTTTAATCACCCGCCGATGAAGCGGTTTCTAAAAGGTGTACAGAGACGCAGGCCTGCTTCACGCCCAATTGTTCCACAGTGGGATTTAACGCTGGTCCTGCGAGCCCTGATCAAAGCTTCATTTGAGCCTCTGGATCAGGTTTCACTTAAATTCTTGTCTCTTAAAACAGCCCTGCTGCTGGCTTTAACATCCGCTAAGAGGGTAAGTGATTTATCTGCCCTCTCTGTCGCTCCGTCATGTCTCAGAATTCAGGCTGACGGTAGTTCAGCTGATTTAAGACCAAACCCAGCTTTCATGGCTAAAAACATCACGAGCTCCTTTAAATCAAGAGCAATATCGTTGGAGGGGTTTTTCCCTCCCCCCACAGATCAGAAGAAGAAGCATCTTTCCATCTTCTCTGTCCGGTGCGGGCGTTGACGTGTTACATAGCGCGCACAGCTGTAATGCGTCAAACTCAACACCTGTTTGTGCATTATAGAGATGCATCTGCAGGTCGCCCGTTATCCACCCAGCGCTTGCCGCACTGGCTGTGTGAGGCCATTTCTGAAGCCTACAAAGCATCAGATTTAGAGCCTCCTGTCAACCTCAAAGCACACTCGACCAGGGGTGTCGCATCTTCAACTGCCCTGCTTAATGGTATGACAATGCAGGACATTTGCACTGCGGCTGCGTGGTCAACACCCTGCTCATTCATCCGTTTTTATCTACGTGATGTGACGGCCCGTTCCATGACACATTCTGTCCTTAGTGCTCTAACAGAATGAATATTGTTGTTTTTCATGGAACTCTGTTTAAGCTCACATCTGTCCGCATGCTTCACAGTGTGAGATGTTGTTATCAGTCACAAGTTGTGTCTGTGATTTTGGTTCTATTGTCACTAATCAGTTCATGACTATTGTTACCAATCAGTTCATTTGATCAATAATCAGTTCATTGTTATTAATCTGTTTATACTGTTCAGCCATGAATCAGTTGGTTCATGCCCCCCCCCCCCCCCTCTTTTCAACATCCTCTCCCCGTTGAAAATTTCTGGGGCGTTCATGTTTTGTCAGAACGCATAGTTACACAACATGCGTCTGTGCATGGCACATAATTACGCAACGCGTAGTTATGCACATGGGGAGCTGAGTGACAAGACGTTTTTTGGGCAAGCTTCCCCTTCACACTGTGTTCGAATAGACCCAGTGAGGCGAGGACAACATCCGCTTCGCCCTTAACCCACTAAGCAAAGGCCTTAAAGGGCGAAGCCTATACGACATAGAACGTTGGTTACGTACTGTAACCCCAGATTCTATGAGTATAGGCGTAGGCCTTTAAGCGTCGGGCCTCACTGGCTCCTGAATAGCTGAAGAAAAAATAAAGCTATTTGGGAGCCGATTACCCGCTCTTAATGTAACTTATACGGATCGGGTGAGGCCCACACAGCAGGTGGGCGTGGACTAATTTTTTTCAGTATGATGCTTGCGCATAACGGGATAAACCCACTAAGCGAAGGCCTTAAAGGGCTACGCCTATACTCATAGAATCTGGGGTTACAGTACGTAACCAACGATTGTTTTAGTAGGACAATGCTAAACCTTAACCTGCATCTATTATAACAGCATGGTTTCAGTCCAGGTGCTGAACTGGTCTATCTGCAGTCCAGACCTCCCATCAATTGAAAACATTTGGTGCATCATGAAAAAAAAAAAAATAATAAATCAACCAATCAATCAATCAACCAACCAATCAATCAATCAGGAAAAGAAGACAACTATAGAATCCTACATCAGACATGAATGGGACAACATTTCCCTCCAAACAGTTTCTGGACATTAGACTGTTAAAACAGGAGGAGTCACTCTCAGTGTGGAAACACGGCTCTGTCACAACTTTTAAAGATGTCTTGCAGTGTTCCAATTCAAAATTATTTTTTTTCTTTGAAAAAAAAATTTTTTTTTTAATTTTAACATTGGTTTTGTTTACTGTATTCCACTGTGGATAAAGTATGGGTTTATGAGATTTGCTAATCATTGCATTCTGCTTTAATTTACATTTTATCCCAACATTTTCAGAATTGCGGCTGTATTGTTTCACTTCTTTGGCAGAACAATGCCTTGAAACAACTACTTGCTGTTAATTTGCCTCAAAGACTTCAGATTACTGCAACAACAACAAAATGTCCCCTCATCAATTTCCTAATTGTGATATATATTTATAGACAAGTATAAGGGCGTGGCTTCGGACAGTGACGGAAACACCTGCACAACAGTCTGCTAATTATTCTGTTGCTGACTCAAATCATCAAATCTTTAATCTGTGTTTTTATGTATTTCAATCTGACTGTAGAATGCAGAATAGAAATGTATAATTTTGCTCATAACAAAGACAACTACAAAATACATTTATTCTCTACTGCAGAAAAATAAAATTACCATAACTGTATCTAAAATGGGCTTTAATGAAAATAATGAGATATTTTATTTTCAGGATTCTGCTAAATTAATTACAAGTAATGGAAGAAAAGGTAAAATTTTAAACCTTTTTTTTTTATTTTTCTCCTACGATGTCCTGTCCCTGATATCTTTCTCTTCATTTTCCCCTAACCTCTATGGTTCAAATCCACACTGGGCATCTCCTTTTCCTCACTGGTTTCTCTCCTGTTTGCACGACCAGCTCTCTTCTGTTTCCCACTACATCTATAAAAGCTATGACATTAAAGGAGAAAAGGATCAATCACTGCATTTTACAGCAGGAGGGGCTGGACATCATTATTTGTATTTACATTGCCTCCTCCTGGGCAGAGTGGGGCGGGCAGGAAAGATGAAGAGTTAGGACGGATGGTTCAGAAATGTCTTTTGTCTTCTCATATTGATACTTCATATTCACGAGTGTCCTGATAATCAAGATAGAGAAAGGTGGAAAATGAGTGTTATTGTAACAAGATTGATCATTGATGTTTATTGAGCTGTAGATGTTTTTCAGTTTAGCACTTACTCCGCCTGTCTCATACAGTGGGTTATCAAACTCTGTCTCCACAGTGATCTGTCGGTAAGGGTGTGGGTACATGAGAGGCAGCCTTAGGTTGGAGTGATATCGGCACCTGTTGGGCAAAATAAGCAGAATCAGAAAAGTGGTAAAGATAATACTGAGATTATCCAAGTTTGAAAATCATTTTTAGACACTCATAACTTGTTTTTTGTTGTGTAGTTATAAATTATTCACTAGGTGGCAAATAAAATAAAAATACATGAGAAATACCATCAAGACATTCTCACTATAAAGAAAAACAACAGAACAAGTAAAACTATTATGTAAAAATAGTTTATATTGTCACAGTTTACACCCTGTTTTTCCTTTTACTCGTCACTCTGTTCACTGTTTGACTTTTTCTTCTCTGCTCTCCTGGGATTTCCCCTCTGCTGCTTCTGCCAGCCTCTTTGCATGCCACACCTCTCTCTCTGATTGCTGCTGATGGTTTCCACCTGTTTCTGGGTGTATATATACTTCCCACTTTCTCCACTACGTTGCTAGATCAACTGATCGCTTTCAGCAACAGTTATCCTGCGTACTCTCCTTGTTCACAGCTCTTGAATCTTGACCCACACCTGTTTCCCTCGACCATGCTTTTTGCCTGTCCCTTTTTGTGCCTCAGCCATCTGACTTTTACTTTTGGCTTTTATGTATGTGAATGTTTCTGTAAAGTGCCCTGATAAAACTTTGTTGTAATTTGGCGCTATATAAATAAACTGAATTGAATTGAATTGACTTTGTTGATGACCTACGCCTGTTTTTTTGGATTCCGCCTTTGCTTCTCCTTATCGGTACTGTCTCCTCTTCGGATCCTGTGTAACAAACCCTGCTCGCCCTCGACTACGCCTCTGGACTTCCCTTGGTCTCTGCAGCCACTCAGCTGCTCAGCTATCACCCCGCCGCAGCCGCTCAGCTCCTCAGCTGTCACCTCTCACGGTGGTGTCACACCTGCAGCTCTGCGTCTCTGATGGAGCGTTCTATTACAACAAAAAGGTTAGTGTTTCACCAGACAGTCTGTATTCAGATAACTACTCGTTATTCTGCCAAACACTAACCTTTCCCCTCTGTATCATTTTAGATACAGTTCCTGCCCCTGGACCTGAGACACCAGAAGCTGTTTATTTCCTCAATAAACATTTTAAAAACCTTTCTGAGTTTGTGGGTAGGATCCTCTGCCATCAGATCCCTGACAGATTGACCTGGCCAAACATGGATCCTGCACCAGGCTCAGAATGGCGCTCTGGTGTGGAAGGTGCCATCAGTAAATTAGAGACCGGCATGAATGAAATCATGAACATGCTTAATACCCTAACTCCTCAATCTAACCCTCAGGACTCAAGTCATGCTGGCAGTCCTGCATACGCTGGAACCACAAGTAACCCACACCGGGAACCACGGTTGGGGCTGAGTGGTTAGAGCAGTCGTCCTCCAATGGGAGAGTTGGTAGTTCAAATCCACCAGCAGTCACATGCTGAAGTGTTCCTGGGCAAGACACTGAACCCCTCATAGCCTCTGATGTGTGTCCCATCAGTGTATGAATGTGATCTAAAGCACTGATTAGTCTCTTTAGAATGATTTGTTCAATTAGCGTTGTAGAGATCTAGTAGAGTGCTGAATGAATGGGTAAATGAGGACACAGATTGTAGTGTAAAGCGCTTTGAGTATCTTGAAATAAGATAGAAAGGCGCTATATAAGTACAGTCCATTTATCATTTACCATTTGACTCCACCAGAACTGTTTTCAGGGGCACCGGATCAGTACCGCCTGTTCCTAACACAATGTGAAATTCATTTTCAGCTCCAACCCTCATACTTCCCCTCTGAATGTGCTAAGGTGGCGTATACTATGACAGGAGGGAACTCATGTCTGGAAAAGCTAAGTCTTGGGGAACGTCAGAATGGCAAAAGGATTCAAGGTACTGCTACTCGTTTCATGAGTTTTCTAAAGAGCTGTGCAGGGTTTTTGACCCCATCGTCTCAGAAAGAGAGGCTGCTCGTAGACTGTTTTCAGTGAAGCAGGGAAAACTAAGTGTAACCGAGTACATCATAGATTTTAATGCTACGGCTGCTGGTAGTAAATGAAATAAAGAGGCACTAACTAATGGGTTCTACCGAGGGCTTAATGAGGAGATCAAGGACAACCTGGCAACCAAGCAATACCCGGACTCACTGCAGGACCTGGAGGATTTGGCGACAAGGGTGGATCTGCGCTTGATGGAGAGATCCCAAGAACAAGCTGAGAGATCCAGCAGAGCCTCAAGACCCCTGGAGGAACCCAGAGAGTCGCCCAGATGGCTTCCCCTGGGACCCCCCCCCCCTCTCCACCACGTCCACAAGTGCCACCACCATGAGAGGAGCCCATGCAGATTGGACGCAGCCGTCTTACTCCAGAAGAACGGGAGAGGAGATGTCGGAACCGGCTGTGTTTCTACTGTGGCCAGGACTCTCACAGCATCTTTGACTGTCCGTTAAAAGGCCAGGCTCAGCAGAGAAGAGGAGACTCCTGCTGAGTCAAACCCAGAATCCAGTAATCTCCTCACCCTTCACGTTTCCAGCTGAGCTGTCCACTGCTGGTAAGACCTGCACCTTCATTAAAGTATTCATCGACTCACGGGCTGACTCTGAGTTCATGGACCTTCAGTTTGCCCAAGAACAAGGAATAAAACTGTTTAAATCCCCCAAACCACTGTTCATCATAACCTTAGATGGTCACCCTCTTCATGACTCCTCTTTAATCGCTGAACCAGTGACTTTAACCATAGGGTAATCACAAGGAGACATTGCAGTTTTTTTTATTATCACATCACCCTACTCTCCTGTGGTCCTAGGGGCCACATGGCTCTCAAAACACAGCCCATATATTAACTGGCAACAGAAGGAGATTGTGGGTTGGTCCGATAACTGTTTATCATCTTGTCTTTTTGATGTGGTCATTCCCTCCATGCCTAAGAACAATATTAAAGAGACTTATCCAGATCTTTCTAAAGTCCCAGAGGAGTACCATGACTTGAATGAGGTTTTTAACAAAGTTAAGGCCAACTCTTTACCACCGCACAGGTCTTATGACTGCCCTATTGACTTGGTTCCTGGCTCTACACCCCCTAAAGGGGCCCTGTACTTTATGTTAACTCCTGAGCAAGAAGCCATGCAGGAGTACATCAAGACCTTGCTTCAAGCCAGCATCATTAGGCCTTCTATCTCTCCAGCAGGCGCTGGTTTCTTCTTTGTGGGGAAGAAGGATGGATCCTTAAGGCCCTGCATAGACTATAGGGGATTAAATAAAATAACCATAAAAAACAAATACCCCCTTCCATTAATGTCATCTGCCTTTGACCTCATCCAAGGTGGTTCAGTATTCACCAAGCTTGAACTCCGTAATGTGTACCATCTGGTGCGCATACGTGAGGGAGATGAGTGGAAGACGGCCTTCAATGCAACCAATGGTCATAATGAATATTTGGTCGTGCCTTTTGGTTTGACCAATGCTCCAGCTGTGTTCCGGTCTCTGGTCAATGGAGTCCTAAGGGACATGGTAAATCTGTTTGTTTTTGTTTACCTGGACAATATTAAATTTTTTTCCAAGGACCTAACTTCTACACAAAAAACATGTCAGATCTGTTCTCACCCGGTTGTTACAAAATAACTTATTTGTTAAAGCTGAAAAATGTGATTTGCACCAGTCCTCCACATCTTTTCTCGGTTTTAAGATTTCACCCAATTTAGTTGAGATAAATAACGACAAGGTTTCTGCAGGACTAGACTGGTCAGTACCTAAAGACCGGAAACAACTGCAGAGGTTCTTGGGGTTTGCTAATTTCTACCAGAGATTTATCAAAGACTATAGGCTCATTGCTAACCCCCTCCATGTTCTCACCTTCTCCAAGAAAAAGTTCCTATGGACAGATGCAGCTGATACAGCATGAAAAAAAATTAAAGACTTTGTTTTCTTCTGCCCCTGTCCTCCATGCCCCCAACCCAGAGGTACAATTTATCGTTGAAGTAGATGCGTCTAGTGTGGGTGTGGGGGCAGTGCTTAGCCAACAGGATAAGGAATGAGTTATTCATCCCTGTGCTTTCGTCTCCAGAAGCCTATCGCCAGCTGAGCGTAAGTGTGAGTTTTTCATGTTATCATTTTAAATTTCTTCATGATTCATGTACTTCTATGCATACAAAGCAAAAAGTTTCTGATACTATCAGTCCACATCTGAGCTGATAGTAATTCTCTGTATTTACATAAGTTGTTTTTACTTAGAACTGTTTGTTAAAAACCAAACATGTCAAAACGTATTACTAGTATTCCAGCACTGTCATAGTTTTTCTCCTCACCCTTAAACTGATACAGATGATTTCAACTGATACAGATGGTATCAGAAACTTATTACAATAAGCATTTAATCAACTGAACCTGTACAAGATGTTTTGTTCTGATCAAAAAGTGTTCCAAGCCAAACACTTATGTGTCACTCTTACCAAATAAAAGTCAGTTCTAACAGCAAGGCTTTGGAGTTCACCTCTGGTTTCAGACCAAAGGCGGATTTCCCTCTTTGCAAGGAGCGTTGGCCAAAAACCTTACTCTGTTCTGTGTGATGTCCTTTATTTTTCTGTTGGGTACGAGAGAAAATACCTAACAGTAATTACGATGTTGGGGAACGTGATCTGTTCACTGTTAAGCTGGCGCTGGAGGAGTGGAGGCACTGGTTGGAGGGCGCCCAGTTCCAAGTTTGGACCGACCATAAAAACCTCGAGTCCCTTAAGTCGGCCAAACGCCTCAACCCTCGACAAGCCAGGTGGGAACTTTTCTTTTCTCGTTTTAACTTTGCTCTCACCTATAGAGCCGGTCACAAGAACACAAAACCTGATGCCCTCTCTAGGTGGGCACCTTTCTTTTCCCGTTTTAACTTTGTCCTCACCTATAGACCCGGTCACAAGAACACAAAACCTGATGCCCTCTCTTGCATCATGGAGGAGGATTCTTGTTCTTCTCGTCACCACGGACAGACAGCTTACGGTGCCGGGGGATGATCCCGGTCCTCCCATTGTCAAAAGCTGAGTTTCCCACCTGCTCCATGATCTTGGTGGTCAGGTACTCGAGCACAGTCACCAGGTTGATGGAAATTCAACCACAGTGCCTCCTTTTCAACTCATTTGGGGCTGTAGCTGATGTATTTGAGCTTTTGAGATGTTAATCAGCTGCTCCTGATTGTTAAAAAAACACCTTGTCGCCATGGTTACGCATCATAACAAATGCCCAAAAGTAAAAAGGTTTCAATAAAAATCCTCCCAGCTGCACAGCATCCGATACCAGAAGAAGTAATCATCCGAAAAAAAGTGATTTACATCCAGATAAAAGAGGAATTAAAGTTTTCAAAAGCAATAACACAGAATGAATGTAACAGAGCTGCTCCAACATGCAGCCACCCCAAGCGGTGCAATTCTAGAACTTAACACAATTCTAGATGTGCGCTTTTTTGTTTTATCCTGTCCTGCCTGTCCCCAAGCCAAGTCCTCACGTCGTCCCCCCTCTGGTCTCCCCCGTCCACTTCCTATCCCATCACGCCCTTGGTCCCCCATTAGTCTAGATTTCATCACTGGTCTTCCTCCCTCTGCCGGTAACACTGTCATTCTGACGGTTGTTGACCATTTTTCCAAGCTGGTTCACTTGGTCCCTCTTCCCAAGCTTCCCTGAGCCAAGACCCTGGCTGGGATCATGTCACGTGAGGTTTTTCGCCTGAACGGTCTGCCCACAGATATTGTTTCCAACAGAGGACCTCAGTTTGTCTCCAAGTTCTGGAGAGAATTTTGTGACCTCCTGGGGTTCTCCATTAGCCTCTCCTCTGGCTTTCATCCCCAGAATTATGGCCAGACGGAGAGGGCGAACCAAGTTGAGGATCCTCTGCCAGAAAGATCCCTGCCAGTGGTCCCCCAACCTCTCCTGGGTTGAACACGGCCTCATCACTGTCCCTTCCTCTGCTATCGGTCTGTCCCCTTTTTACACAGTTTTTGGTTTTCAGCCCCCTTTAATCACCACCCAGGAATGTGAAGCTCAAGTGCCCTCTGCTCACTAGTCAGCCTTACGCTGCCAACGCGTATGGCAGAGAGCCAGACGAGCCCTTCTGGAGACCTCCACAGCCTACGTTAAAGGGGCTAATGGGCAGAGGTCTCAACAATCCACTTATCAGGAGGGCCAGAAGGTATGGCTCTCCACCAGAGATCTCCCATTAAAAGTAGAATCACGCAAACTTGTGCCCCGATTTATTGGCCCTTTCCCCATATCCAAAGTCATTGACCCAGTTTCTGTCCGTTTATCTCTACCCAAATCCATGAGAATTCACCCATCATTTCACGTATCCAAAATCAAGCCCTTTTTGCCCTCCAGTTTTCACCCCGACTCAGAATCATTCAAAAATATAAATGTTATTAGAACTAACCTGGTGACGTAGACATACACACCACCCAGCAGCACAGACACCAGCAGAATGATGATGACGATGGCTAACGTTATGTTCCCTCCATCCAGAGGGGAGCCTGCAGTCGCCTCTGCAACTGAAGCACAACACATAAAAAAATACAAGGTTAAATACAGGACGAGTTTCATCCACAGAACAACCACTAGAAATCAGATAAAAAGTGTTTTATCTAACATCTTCGGATGATGGAGGTCAAATGGACAAACACAGCTGGAGGAACAAACATACATACACCTATGAACTTAGCAAGTGGATGATAGCAGATGTAGGCAGAGCAGACAGAAAGGGAAGTGATTATATATATATATATTTTCCTAATTTGAATATATACCACATATATTAGGGGTGTAGATACATGTACTTGTACCAAAGATTTTGATATGGGCCTTATGGTTCGGCACACATGTGAACTGAACAAACGTAGAATTGTCATAAATCTGAACACATGCAGATGTTTATATGAAGAACTAAAGTGTGCAAACTTTACTTTCTGCAACACCTCGTAGCAACAAACAAGACCACATGAAGCACCCCCTTACTATTAAGACAGGACCACAGGAGTACAACCAGACTGTGTGTAGGTTGACACACAGACAGACACTCACCTTCCAAAGCATGGTTGCCAAAGCAGTCATGGGTGGCTGCAAAAACATCATTCTGTCAGTCATTGCATATGAAAATGAACATCTTTCCTGCTGTTCACAATGTCCGAGTTTGTACATGAAGTTTATTTCCCAATGTGCATATAGTAACTACATTTTCAAAATGTTATGATTTCACATCATGATTAATTACCTGCAGGGTTCCCAAAAGACTAGACATGTCAAAATTATATATTGCAACCAGAATATGTAGAAAGTACATGTATTACGTAGCAATAAAGTATTTTGCACTGAAATAGAATGTTCTTATTAATGTTAAATACATAAAGTGATGTTTGAAAGTTTGTAAAACTTTTACAATTTTCTATATTTCTGCATAAATATGAGCTAAAACATCATCAGATTTTCAAACAAGTCCTAGAAGTAGATAAAGAGAACTCTGTTAAACAAATGAGACAAAAATATTATATGTTGACCATTTATTTACTGAGGAAAATTATCCAATGTTACCTGGACAGTTTCTTTTTTTTTGTGCTGAAACGTTTCGCCTTCGATCCGGAAGGCTTCATCAGTCAAAGAAACACACAACACAAAACTGATTCTTCCCCCAACAGCTTACTCCAAACTGGAACAAACCAATTCTGCTTGTGATAAGATGGTCTCTTTGGTACGCCTCCTCCTCCATTGCCAGCCCTCTTCCTTGTTGACAGTCTTGTCAAACTGGTTGAAAACAACAAAGTCCATGCTCAATAATCCAGGTATACAATCCAACATTTTTTAGTCAGGTCATCTGGACAGTTACTTTTTTGTTTTTTTGCTGAAACGTTTTGCCTTCGAAATTATTGAGCATGGACTT